CACCCGGGGCGGACCCCTCACCCCATCCCCGGGGGTCGGTAATTGCAGACCCGGCGGAAAACCGGCCGGCTTCCCGCGAGTCCTGGGCGTCCTCCGACTCGGGGCGTCTCGTTTCCCAGCGCGGGTCCCCCGACGGCCCCACCGCCCGTCCTCCCCCGGGGCTGGGCCGGCGGGCGGCCGGGGACGCGGAGCCCAAATCAACCGGAAAGCAGGTTCAGCTTTTTTTTTTTAATTTTTAAGATTTTTGCTGTTTCGCAAACAGGGTCACACGAGGCTTCAGAATCTAAAGAATTTGGAAAGGCACCTCGGGAGTGGAAATAATCATAAAGGGGTTGGAGAGTTCTGATTGTTGCCAGGGGTCGTGTCCGAAGTGGGCTGGCCTTCTTGCTTGTCCCGTAAAGTAATGCCTACTTCTCCTTTATCATGAGAATAACTTAAAACTCAAGAAAAAAGTAGCTGGAACACGGCTTCATCCTGCCAGGCTGTCAAATACGGTTTTAAGTTAACCATACCACCTCCCAGGTTATCCTCCATAACTTTTAAGTAGTTGTACACTGTGTTCTGTTTTCCCTTAATGCTTGTTACTACGCGGTCCTCATATTTATTATTTTTACCGGTGCTCTTGTGGGACATTAGCTTGCTGCAGCTTTTAATTTATAAAGCCATTTTCTTATTAGAGATTCAGGTTCTGTTCATTTTTCTTCTCAGTGCTGTACATGAATTTGCTAAAAACATCTTCATACTTAGAAATATTTTTTCTGTTGACTTATTCCTGTGGAGTAATGTCTGGGAGTAACGGTGTTTTTCCCTTCCAGAAAACTGATTGGGAGGTAGCAATTAAAAGTATCAATAAAAAGAACCTGTCAAAATCACAGATACTGCTTGGGAAGGAAATTAAAATCTTAAAGGTATGTTTCTCTATGTGGTGTTTCATACTAGAATAAACTTAAATGAATATGTAATGACATCCATTGCCGTTTTGGTAGTTGGACCCGAGTTTGAGAATTTTCACCTGTTGTTCTCATTTTTTGCTCAATTTTTTGAAACACTGAGTACTTACAAGCTATTTTAAGAATAGATGTTTGTGGCTCTTGGCCAGTCCTTAGAGAGATTGATGAAAACTGATTTTAGCTTCTCATAATTCCTTTTGCCTACTTACTTTATTGTTGTTTGAGAAGAGGAAGGCCTTTCTTATCCATGATTTATCTCCTCTGTTGATCCGTTTCATGGTACAGTATTTTTTGGAGAACTGGGTGCATCAGGATCTTTTTTTCCTTATAAATTGAACAAAGTTACTTTCCTTGAAAGTGGTCTTTTTCGATCACTCACAAGCAGTGTCATCCAAGTGGGACACTTTGAGGCAAAAAAGTCAGTGTGGAAAATCCTGTTTACTAAATCCTTCTTGGAGAGTCACAAAGCACTCATTAAAAAAAGTCAAGAGACTTAGGCAGTGAAGAAACTGCTTTAGGTGTATTTGACCCAGTGTTTCGCAAACCAGCATAAACAGAGAACCCTCATCTAACATTCATCAAAATTACTATGCCGTGGACAGCTCTTTGGTAAGAATTACAGTTTGTTGAACTTTGTTGACTTTGTTTTCTTTCAGGCATTGTAAGATCCTGCTTTTTAAAAGTACTGTGGAACTTTATGCCTCTTTTGTTGTTAGAAATTGTATATTAAATCTAAGAGACTAGCAGAAAGCCTGTGATCATACTGTGATGTTTATTTTGTAAATGAGAGTACTCACCTTGTTGAGTCTAAAAAATTACGGCAGTGAAAAAATATATAGGCCCCAAGTGAAGTTTGATCAGCCACATTTCTTATTCTTAGGAGACTGAATTGTTCTAATCTAGTAACAGAAGTATAGATACTAGAAGTAGTATAAATGGATATGTGTTCATGTGTGTGCATATGCTTAAATTAATTTCATTTGCATATGGAAATGTTATAAATAGAATAAATGCAAATATTTTGAATTCTCCATTTTCTTAACAGGAACTTCAGCATGAAAATATTGTAGCACTCTATGATGTTCAGGTACCTTATTTTGGATTTTTTAAAATATTTGTATGTTAATAAAGAACTTAAAATTTTTTTCTGTTTCATACAAGTTTTAAGTGAATCTAAATAGAAATAGAAAGTTGCCTTATTCTTGTTGAAAAGATAATATAGCTTGAGTTCCATGTTTATTAATGAAATTGTTTAAAATAGCATAGGGCAGTAGGATAAAACAATGTACTGCATGAGTAAACTTATTAACAAATGTTAATACGCTACAAGACTAGTGTTGTTTTTGGTCTAGTAGAGGAATATTGGTGCTGGATCTAGCATTTCTGTGATAAATTTAGAAAGGACTATTGTGGGCTATTAAAAAATCACATAGGGCTTTCTTCTTACTTTGAAAGCAACATTTGCTAACAGTAGAGATGTTAGAAAATAAAGGAAATAAAAACAAGGAAACTGCGTATTCATCACCTAGATCTCTCTGTGATTATCACCGTGGCATACAGTAGAGTCAGAAGCCTGCGTTCTGAAGGTACCTTCTAAGGCAGCATTTCTACTGGAGATCTTTTTAAAAAGCCCAGTTTGGGAGAAAAGTACTGTTTTTGGGGTGGAGCACCAGAGCAAGTAGTTGGCTTATATTTTGAGGCCATATTGTGTTAAACAAGTCCTCCTTGAATAGTGGGGTCACACTTGGCTAGTGTGTGTTCACCCCGAGAGCCCTGCGGACCTGCTGCTGCTGGGACAGCCCATCAGCCTTTCCCTCCACTCTGCTCCAGAGCGACCAGGGTACCCGATTTACTGTATTTCCCTCTTGTGTTTTGTTTAGTCTGGACAGTTGAATCCCAGTAAGGAAGTGAACATGTTGTGTGATTCTGCTGTATGTTTTCTAGCTAAAACCATTTCTGTATACAGTTGTGCTACTCAGATTCATTCATTTTGTGAGGTTTGAGCAGCGGCTGTGAGCCAGGCATTTCTAAGGCTAGGAGAAAAGCAGTGAGTAAAGCAGAGTCCCTGCTCTCAGCCTGCTTGTTTTCAGCGGACTGGCCTGCGCGTGCTTTTTAAAATATATCGCCATTTTTCATGGAGTCATATCATACCACAAAGTATTGATGTAACTAAACCCATGTTATGTTTAGGTTTTTCCCATTATACAAAAATGCTGTGAGGATAATATATACTTTCTGAAGATACCTGATTATTTTGTGTAAGTCCAGCTTCTAGAATTGGAACTATCGGGACAAATGGATGAACGGTTGTAAAGTTTTTGACAGTAGTGTGACTTCCCTCCCAAAACAATGCAGTCTGAAGTCGTGCACAGAATGTGCGCGCTGTGGGTGTGTTTTATTACCCATTTAAATAAGCGCAGCTCCCTCCTCCACTTGAGACATTCAAAGCAGCGTGGAAAGAACGGGGGGGGGGGGAGGTTTCCAGTCAAAACCAATCTGATCTCACAGTCCCTACTGAAATGTCGATTCTCCTCCGAGCTGTTTGTGTAGTTAGTTGTCTCAGTCTCTGTAGACAGAGGGCACCAAGTGGTACGAGTCAGTGCCTCGTACAAAAATTGTTACGTATTAACTCTTAATGCCCCCGTGTTTGAGAGTACAGGAAATCCTGTCAGCTGCAGTGTAGGCTTTGCTTCAGAGTAGAGAGTTTACTTAGATTTTGTCTATCAGAATGAAAAACGTTTTTCAGTCCAGGTTTTGGCTGCAGAATGAGATACCATTAAGGACAACATGTACTCAGAAACCTGAATTATGAAACAGTTGGAAATTTCAAGGTGACTACATTAAAATGTTTTGTGCATTGTGCACTAGTGGAACTAATTTATAAAAATAAACTTAAGAACTATTAGTCACATAAACATAGTCTTGAGCATTGGGATATAGAGTAAACAGAGTCTGGATCTAATAGTTGTGATTTGCTCCCTTGATTCTGACTTCACCAAGGAGGGTGGGATGCTTACAGAGACTGGTAGTCGTTTCATCCACTGGAAACGAGCACCATTTTCCCTGGCATTCATTCGTGGACATCCATCTGAAGTTGATGTGTACACTTTTATAAACTGAGAACTTTTGACATTGTCTGTAATAATCAGGCTTCAGTTTAGATGACGCTTAAAAAGAAACACATCTCCCTAATTACAAAAATAATACATGCCCGCCTTAAAATTCTCCAACATTGCTGAAATGAATAACTTAGAAAGGAAATGGTAATTCCCAGGTATAACCATCATTTGTCACATTTGTTTTAGAGGGTTTTTTAACCTTTTTAAAAATTGAAGTATAGTTAATTTACAGTGTTGTGTTCGCTTCAGATGTACAGTGAAGTGACTGAGTCATACATACATGTCTAAATGCGTATATGGCTCTGTAGTCATTTAATCAAGTGGGAGAAGAGGAGGCAAGCTTCCCAGGCAGACGAAGCCTTCTGTGAAGAGATGAGTCTGAAGGGCTGGAAGGAGGAATGTGATGGGGACGCAGGGGGAGTGGGGACATGGTGATGGGTGATGCGGGAGGCTCAGTAGGGGCCATGCATGATCTTTAAGGACAGTACAAAGCCATTATAAGAGTTTTAAAAGCAGGAGGGTGATGTCATGTCTGTTTTTCAAAAGATGCATATCTTCACGTCCTGAGCATGAGATAGGTATAGTCAGTTGGGAATACTTACCTGCATGAATGTCAGTGATCTGGGTGAACATCCACCTGTTGGTAATTTTCAGTATAGTGAGGAAAAGATTCATTCTGTAGATGACACTGGCGAATTGAGACATCTGAGAAAAAATAAAGTTGGATCTCTATTCTCATCATTTTCCAAAGTGATTTTCAAATGAATTAAGAATGTAAATATGTAAAACAAGCAATAACAACCTTAGAATAATATTTAGATGACTGTATATAATCTAAGAGCTAGGAAGTTATTTTAAATCAAGATAAACTTGGAAGCCACATAAGTAGGGACATATAAAATTTTTTAAAATTTTATTTTATGACAAATAATACCGGGAACAAATTGACAGCCATAAAAAGGAACAAACTTGATACATACCGTAATGTGTTAGGAATCTCAAACATTAAGCTGAGAAAAAGAAGCTAGGTACAGACAGCTACTGTGTGATTCTGTCTGTGTGCGTGTGTGGGTTTCAAGAAGAGACAGAACTCGGGGAAAGCAGAGGAGAGGCTGCAACTTGGTATCGGGGGCTGATGGTATGTCTGGGCGAGTGTGGACCTTCTGGGGCTATGGAAATGCTGTGTTTTGTTTTGACTGGAAGGGTAGTTACACAGGTGTATACATTTGTCACAACTCATGACCTATACACTGAAATCTATACCACAATGAAATGCAAAAAAATGCAAGAGTAAATAATAGCTTGAGAAAATATTTACAATACAACAGGTAACAGGCTAATATCTAAAGCATATAAATCCTCTCACAGATTGAGAAGGAAAAGACAACCCAAAGAGAAAGTAAGCGAAGGATATAAATTGTGGTTCTCATAAGAGCAGTAAGAACGGCTGATAAGTGTAGGAAATGACGTTCATGAACAAGTGGGGAGATGTAAATTAACGTAATGGATGTCACTTCCCACCCTCCAAATGGGAACATTAAGTGCGGCAGTTCTCACTGCTGGAATTGGGGAGGTATCCCCGATTCCCAGGTTATCACAGGTAAAAATGTGAGTTGTTAGGATATTTTTGGAATGATGTCTGGCGATACTTCTGCTTCCATACCCTAAAGAGTATTCTTGACATTGCCGTCAAAGTGCTCTTGGTAATGCAAGTTAGGGCATCCTAACTGCTTGGACCCCTGCAGTGCTCCCCCCCCATTTCTGTGAGTAAAATCCAAACCCTGTTACCCCCTCCTCTGCACCTTCCTGCTTCTGTTCCATCCACTCGGGCCTCCTTGTGGGCCTTTCCCCGCTTTCCCTCCTCCTGGTGACTGTGTGTACAGTGTACACACAGAATGTGGCATCTCTGTCGTGTACACAGATACAGTTTCAGCCTGCCTTAGGTCTTACTCAACGCATTGCCAATGAAGCTTTCTTTAGCTGCCCTAAATAAAACTTCAGCCCCTCCCCAGCACTATCTATCCTCCTTTCCTACTTTTCTTCCAAAGCACCTGTCACCCTCTAACATGCTCTATATACTTACTTCACTTGTTTGTTATCTCTCTCCTGACCCTTCCCTCTGAGAATTTAAGCTTAGAGAACAGGGCGTGTAACTCTGTTGGCTTACTGCTATATCCTTAGTGCCTAGAGCAGTGTCTTGTATATAGAAGGCAGTTAAATATTTCAATGAGATGAGACATCTGTCACCATTAGAAGTACATATGCTTTTACTAAGCAGCCCAGACTCCTGGGTATCTATCCCGTAGCCATAAACGCATGAGAAGTAGGATAGATGTCCCAGAACCATTGCAGCATTGCTTAGAATGGGCAAAGCTGGAAACCGGAGAACGTCCCTCAGTAAGGGAATGGCTCAGTAAATGGCAATGTGGTCACACTGTGACATATCACATTATTAAAAAGAGTTATCTATGTGCAGTTGACTTGGAGGGGTTTCTTTAGTGTATTATTGAATGAGGAAAGCAAGAGTCAAACATTTATATATGACATCCCATTTTTTCAAAGTAAAATATGTGTGTGTGTTTACCTTATGATTATATGAGTAGGAGAAAGGCCTGGAAGGTTGCAAACCAGATGTAAACATTGGCTACTTGGAGAGGTGAAGATAATTGAGCAAAAAGATGGAAATGAATTATATTAAAATTAAACTCGCATGCTTCCTTTGGGTGTGACTGTGTATAAAGAGCTGCATGAAAGCACTGACACGTTAGTGGGGCTTCTTTCAGATGGTGAGATTGAAGTGATTCTTTAACTTTCTTCCTTCAAATTTTAATGTGATCAAGTTTTTGCAGTAGGCACTTTTTTTATATAATCAAGAAAAAAAAGCTTTCTTTCTGAGGGGAAGAGGGAGAACCCACCTTAGCTTGCTTGCATTCTGCAGCCTTTGGGCAGGCTTCTGATTATTAGCATT